TGGGTACGGCCCTGTAATTCGCGTTTCTTTGGCTAGCATCTGCTAATGACGGCAGTTGGATGCGCCGGAAGTAAATTTCCTACCTCAAATAAAATCTACAAAATCAGCGATTGTGAAAAGTAAATATGCAAAGGCCATGTCCAGTGAGCAAAAGTTCATTTTCCTCATGTTGCAAACAGATCAGGCATTATGTTACGCTTTTTGCATTTTCCTGACAAGGCTTTTTATAAATCGATACATGTACTTTCTAAGGCGTTCAGTTACTCTCAAGATGAAATACCGCAAATCTCTTTAAATTGTTTTAGGAACAATGAGTACGTGAGCTGTATGGCAAACGTCTCCAATTTGAAATTTATGGAATTCGATGTGTTATTGATAGCGCTCGTGAATAATACACAGAAGACACAAGAGATATAACGTTTTGTTTCAATTAGTGAGCTTAATTAAAGTATTTTGGGCTTTGGTTCATCGTGTCGGAAAATGACTGAAACTTAATGAAATCAAGCCACGCTGAAAGCTCATATTTATCAGAGCAGAATGCGTTTGCACTGAAAGTGTGTTTCAGTGTGATTGATACGTGCACCTACAAACACAGTTAGTGTTAGGTCCCCAGATGTCGCCACTACCCACATCAAATCAATCCTGACGTCATCGGCGTCGGAAAGTGGGCGCCGACGCCGTCGACGCTTTCTGTCGGTGCCCAGTATAACGTCGACCGCGTAACTGAATGCCGGTGTTACAGTGCGCTATAGTCTTGCACAACTTTGGTACTTAAATAAATCGAGCTTTTGCTACTATGCTATAGTTGGTGCTAGATAAGTGAGTCTTGCATGACCCCATCACGTGTGCCATTCATTTCTATGTCTAGGACGCACTTCAACAAATACCGCCAAACTTTCAAACTACTCGAACCACCTGTTACTATCAATGCGCGCCTAAGACAAAATTCAAAAAACCTCAAACCTCAATTCGCTAAAACGTGTTTAAGAAAATCAAATCAAATTTTTGTTGTTAAATTGCTGATGCAAGTTGGGTTTTTTCCAGTGATTGTCTGTAATTTGTGATAGTCGTGGTACTGAAAATTTTTGTGTTTAGAGAGACCTATGGTAGTAAGTGTTTGGTGTTAGCAGGCAGGTGGAGTCTGGTGGGAGTCGTCTTCGACGGGAGCAGCGTGGAGCGTCGTCCCTTCTTCGCCAGGTCCAGGGTCTGCCAGAATGAGCCATGGCGCAGCTACCCTCGCCGCGCTTGCGCCACTACAGGTCCGCACTCGCACGAATTTAGGCTCCCGGGGCACGCTTAAATGCACCGCAACTAGACAACTCGCACTCAGCACAAATTTGCCCCGATTTTCTACCCCCTTGATTGATTCGCGATGTTTTCCAGAACAATGACGGCCATCTGCTTCGTCTGCAACCTTCCGATCCTCTCGCACCAAGTCGGTCTCGTATGGCAGGGCGGCAACGGCTGGGACGACCTGGTGCGCGAGCAAGTCGAAGAGTCGACCATCAGACAGCGTCTGGGCGGCCGCAGAGACTCCGCCACGCAAATCTGCAGCATCTCCCCGCCGACGGAGACCCAGGAGACCTCGCCGCCGACGTCGGGCACGACGCGCCGTCGCCGCAGTTCCCTTGCGCAACTCACCGACATCCTCCGCGAATGGGGCGGCTCGACGAAGAGCCGCCAGAAGCAGCTGTGTCGCAGGGAGACTCTGGCGGATTTGGCGCGCTCGCTGCCATGGGGTCGGCAATCCACCACCGAAGCCGGCCCCACGCCCAGCATCTCCACCGCGCGCAAACGGAGAGAATCTAGCGCCGACTCCGGCATCAGAAGCATGGGCTCCAAGTCGCGACGCGACTCCCATCACACTGCCATTTCGGATTTCCGATCGGAAGTTGCTAAATTATGGACGAGGAGAGAGTCAACCACGACGATGGTGACCACGAGCACGTCCCCGAGACGAGGTAGTGGCGAATCGAGCAAAAGCGGACGACGAGACTCCGTCTCGCACTCGCATGGGGCTTCCAGGAGAGGCTCGGGGGAGAGTGGACGTAGTGGACGACGTGACTCCACGACGATTATCACACCACCGCCACCGAAAATCGTAGCCGCGCAAAAAAAACGCAGAGATTCACGAACTATCAATGACACTCCTTACTATCGACAAGAACAAAGACCGTCAACGTCGTCCACAGCGTCCGATTCAACACCTCTTGTAACACAAAGTGTGACAACTGATACGAGTACAACAACACAAGTTATTTCACCTCCTACTATTATCATGTCCAGTGTTACACCTCCAGCAACCTCTCCAACGGTGCAAGCCACCACTCCAACCCATCCTTTGTTAGCCACCCGACGCGATTCGACCACACAATGTGGCCGTTTGGGTCGGAGAGACTCCCGGAGTCATGCCAGTCCGGAGCGTAGTAGCAAACTCTCGCGTTTGCAACGCCAAAATACAGCATACGATGAGAGTTGTTTACCACCTGGGGGTTGGAGTCGTCGAGGGTCACAACCAACAGCTCTTAGTCCCGATGTTGATGATACAGGTCGCAAAGCACGTCGTGATTCACTTAGTCCGGACTCGGCTTCGCGGAGTCGACGTGACTCCAGGTCGCATTTAAGCCCGGATCGATCCGGGGAAAGAGACATTAGTCCGGTTAGGCGGACACGACGAGGACGCTTACGACGACAATCTACCAGTGTTGCACGAGGTGGAGGACCAAGATCCCCAGATAGTTCGAGTTGTTCCAGTAGAGATCCTAGTCCTTCCAATAGACCCGTTCCTCCTCCTACTGAAAATTACAGACCGACTATTCGAAGACAGTCCACAACTGAGGAGATTCTCATCGCGAGAGGATTCCGAAGACAGTCAACAACGGAGGAAATGATCCGTTGTCGAAATTTTCGGCGACAAAGCTCGCAAAGTGATGATTGTCAAAGATATAGAGGGAGGAGGGATTCGAGTGCACAAATCCTCGATGGTACAATCGCTTCCATGACTGTTGAAACTTCCAGCACATTCTTTGACTCGAGTACACAAACAGGTAAAGGTTTTAGTTTGTTTGATAAGCGACCAATTCAATGTGCGCGCCGTCATTTCAGTAATATTTGTGATAACACAGTTGGTAATCGATCGGGAGGTGGGGCTAAGCGCCCCGACGCTGCTTCAGTGGTGCCGTGGCATCCGCAGCACGTGGACGTCGCCGTCGTGGTCGTTTCCTCCATGCATTCGAACTAAAAAACCATGATAGTGGCTTTTGAAATGTCGGGAGTGGCCGTTGACGCCCTTTTTTAAAGCCCCCATTTATTTATTTGCAACTTTGGAGTATGACCTTTCAACTGCTGAAACAGGTACTTGATCTCGTAAACTGTTGCGCCTATCTTCGAAAATCTGATAAGAATTCATATTAAAATATCGACAAGCTGTCATCAACGAAAAATATTACTCTCTTTTATTCACGCAAAAATGCAAATTTATCTCGCCGTCACTGCGAAAAATAACAGCAACAAAAGGCGCTTTAAATGTAACGTCGCGGTTTTAATACACAACGACAATATTTAAGCAATTTAGCTATTTTTTCTTCAACCCTGAAATGTTAATGTCACCCAGAGAAGACGTGATATCACAGGAAACAACAGTGATTCAACTAGTGGTCTAATCAACAAACTGTGGTTGAAAGATGAAGATCCTTCTATTTTTAAACTAAAAAACATCAGCTTTGAAACTTTCAACATTCACTAAAAATAAGTATTGAATTTCGTGCTGTACAAATAAACATTCGTTTTGGAGGCGAAAATTTTCGGTCCCTTGAATTTATTTAATTGTTTCATCTTGGTTTTATTTAAGTTAATATCGCGACGGATCGATGGAGTGGTAGAAATAGGACAATACCGTCGAGATTTGATCGAATGAAATTGGTTGATTGTTTTTGAATATTGCAGAACCTTCGCCGCTGTACGACAATAATCACTATCACGAGGAATGTTTGCGATGCAATTCGTGCGGACTCAATTTGACGGGTCCCAACCAGAAGCGAGCAAGACGCTTCAAAAACCAAATACTCTGCGACTTACACTTCGCTGACGTTGCTCTTATGGAGTGTTCCGACTTCATGCAGCAACTTCGTGCTTTCAAGCCGCAGTCATTGGGATGTGCTGTGGCGAGAAGAAAGTCCTCAACAACTCTTATTTTTCCTCTACCACCGCAAGCCTGTTCAGGTAAGCCAAAACACATTTGCTTTCTCTTCAACATTTTTATTAAAATACAATCTATCTACTTGAAATAACAATTCAAATTACCCACAATTTAAAACGGTTTTAAAATACCAAGAATTGGGCCTAGTATTGGACCTAGTAAACCAAATATTGGTCCCAATAACGGGGCTAGTAGGCCTAATACAGGTCCCAGAACACCTCCTAGCATTGGGCCCAACAAACCCAATACTGGTCCTAATACACCGAGAAGGAGGGGTCCTAGTATGAGTATAATTGGTCCCAAAATGGGTCCAAGTATACCTAGTAGAGGTGCTAATAAAATTCCGAGTACAGAAAGTACAAAAGGTAGTATTGGTCCTAGAATGGCAAACAGTGGGCCTAAAAGGGGTCCTAAAAGCACTATAATTGGGGCTAAAAGTGGTGTCAAGGGTCCTAGTACAGGACCAAGAAGACCTAGAACAGGTCCTATTGAGCCAACAAGAGGCCCTAGAAGTAAGAGAATTGGCCCTAATAGTCCCAAAAATGGTGCTAAAAGAGGCGCTATTGGACCTAGCAACCCGATCAAAGGACCAAGGAAGGTAAGTAAAAGCGGTGCTATGGGACCCAGTAGTCCAAGGAATGGTCCAAGAAGGCCTAAAATGGGCAAAAGGGGAGCGATTGGACCCAAAGCTGCCAATAAAGGAGCCAGATGCGGTCCTAAAAGTGGGCCCAAGAGGATTAGTAAAATAGGCAATAATAATGGCCCTAGACCGCCAAATATTGATAAAAATAGGGGACCCACAAGTGATAGAATTGGACCCACCAAACCCAAAATTGGTGCAATTGGCCCGAAAACTGGTGCTAAGATTGGGCCAAGGAAAGTAAGTAAAAGTGGTGCTATGGGGCCTAGTAGTCCAAGGAATGGTCCAATCAAGGGTCCTAAAAGTGGCCCAAGAAGGCCTAAAATAGGCAAAAGGGGAGCGATTGGACCCAAAGCTGCCAATAAAGGAGCCAGATGAGGTCCTAAAAGTGGGCCCAAGAAGATTAGTAAAATGGGCAATAATAATGGCCCTAGACCGCCGAACATTGATAAAAATAGGGGACCCACAAGTGATAGAATTGGGCCCACCAAGCCCAAAATTGGTGCAATTGGCCCGAAAACTGGTGCTAAGATTGGGCCAAGAAAAGTGAGTAAAAGTGGTGCTATGGGGCCTAGTATTCCAAGGAAGGGGCCCAAAAGAGGCCCAAGGAGGCCTAAAATAGGCAAAAGGGGTCCAAGAACTGGAGCGATTGGACCCAAAGCTGCCAATAGAGGAGCCAGATGAGGTTGAAGTGGGGCTAAAAGTGGGCCCAGTAATGGTCCAAGAATTAGCAAAAGTGGTGCCAAAAACAGAGGAAAGAGGGGTCCCAAAAAGCCTAAAAGTGGTCCCAATAGAGGCAATAAAATAGGACCAATTAGTAAAAGTGGTGCCAAAATAGGTAAAATTGGATTTAAGAGTGTTAGAAGCGGTGCTAGTAAGGGCAAAAGTGGGGCTATAATCGGTTGTAACATAGGTAATAAGGGCAATAATAAAGGTCCTAAAGCTCCGGGTAAAAAGGATAAAAGTACTGGGAGTAAAAGTGGTCCCAGAAGTAAAAGCAAAGGTCCAAAAATGAGTATAAGAATTGGTGTGAGTACTATTGGTACTAAAGGTCCTAATGCTGTAATTATTTGAGGAAGGAATTGTGGTAAAAGTAGAAGAGGAATCGGAGTTAGGTGGAATAAAAGGTTCAAGAGCCCTCCTCCTGGTGCCAAAATACTTCGAACCAGGGTAATAATCGGTGTCAAAAATAGGGAAACCCCGAAAATTGCAGTAGTAGTAAAAGGATCAGGTGGTACAAAATCGGGCAATAAAGCGTAAATCCCTAACACAGTCCTAATAAATTGCCCAATATTTGGTAAAAAGTTGGGTAATAAATGTTTCAACAAAGTCAAAATAATCAAACTGAGTGCCAAAGTGGGTAATGACAAATTGTTACCTAACAAGTTTTGTATAATTCCATTTTTCACTAAGACCTGCCATAAAATTCCAAAACCAATAGGCCCAAAAGCTGGTAATAGAACGGTAAGTGGTAACACAAACGGTAAAAGTTTCAAGATTTTTGCCCCCGCTTCAAGGGGAAGATTCCCGATATTTACCAACTGAGCAAGTACTGGATCTATACTCTGCACTATTCTCTTCAAAATGTCTCTTATTACGGGCACGTATGGTGTTAAAATCGGTGCAAAGTAATTCACAACTGTCAAAACAATCACTCCAAGGGGGCCAATTGCGGTCAAAGCTAACAACAAAAATGGAATCAGCAAGGGGGCGAAAATCCGAACCAACACATTTAGCGGTGTTTGGGCGAGGTGGTTGAAAACAGCCAAGTCTCTTATTGGATCCGAAGCTAAAAAAATTTACTGAAAATAAACATCACTCAAAAATAAATTTCCTACCGATATTAGGGACGTTAAGCAACAAAATAAGCGACGAAATCAAAATATATTTTTGTGCACCCATTTTGGAGTTTTTTCACATTCTTTTTTTTTGAAAATTTTGATTTATGAATATTTTTGGCACCGCCAAAAATATTTCTACTGAAGTCAATGAGCCAACGTTGGGTTTTATATTGCACAAACTGTGAGATAATTTTCTAAATAATTTTTATCATCCACAACAAATTTGCACAAGTGAGTGCAAGCACGACATCCAGTTACGGAATTTGTTCCAAAATTTAAAAAATGATTATGTAACTCAGATAAGGCAATTTAGAATATTAATAAAAATAAAAAAACAACCAGCGACCAGTTAATGAAATTAAAAAAAAAATTTTTGTAATATTACGTACTCAATTTTTGATTTTATCCTCTTAGTTCTTTTTTATTTTCTCTTATTTTTAATTCCAATTTTTTTTTAATTTTTGAGTTTAGTAATAAATTTTCAATAAAACATCTCTCTTTCTTTTTTTTAATATTCACTTTTTCCTTTGTTTAATTTCTCTATTTCTCCTCAATTACAAAAATACTTTTTGGAAAAGTCGGTATTTATCGGTAATAATTTCCAAAATATTAATCAGACAGCTTATTATTATGTTTGATCTGTAATTAAGATTTATCTTAAAATTATCAAAAGCACTGATCCAAGTGAGGTAAGAATGTTTCACATGTTATAATAAATTGAAAGAATATTTAATTTTTTAAATATAAAACAACCCACAACCAGTTAGAGAAATTTAAAAAAAATTCTCTTTCGTAAAACATTCATTCAATAGTCAATTTTTTTCCAAGTCCTCTTAGTTCTTTGTTAATTTTTCTTATTTCCCTTCATTTAAAAATAGTATATTATGTTATTAGGAGTAAAAATGTTAGTTTTTTTGACGAACGTAGTGAGCAACTCCGAGCAACATATACTGTTTTATCTACAAACGTATTCAGATCGAGAGTACAGAGCAACACTATAATTAGCCAGTAAATAAACAAAATAATCAGGACGCTTTGCAAGTGATGAAATCATAACAACGTTTATAAACACACTTTCGGAATTTATGTTGACATTTTCAAAAATGTTTATTAAATTAACTAGCGCATGACTAGTGCAGTTAGTAGTGCAAAATGTCTAATATGATGATCTACAATGTAAACAAAAATTGCTAAAGCAGCGAAATAACAATAATGTTATGGTAAAAGTAAAAACGATTAGGCACAAAAGTAGAATTTTTGAAACGTGAAACTTTTTTTTGTGACAGTTAGTCTTTTTTAAAAAGTAATAATTTACAAAATGTTGCGATCAATCATACTTTTTTATCTTCATTTAAATATTATTAAAAAATAAAACAACAATATCAATTCCACAGTTTATTATTCTTTCATTTCAAATTAAACCTAAAAACGGGCCAAGTACTGGGCCTAAAATTGGTCCCACGAGTGGTAGAAGTGAAAGCAAAGCTTTTTTGTGTGTCATATTTGAAAAAAAATGAATCAATTAAGTGGATAATGATCTAACAACACAATTGCTTTACATCCATTAAATTATGACAAGAATGAACTTTAGTGTAATCAAATAATAAAGTAAAGCACCGGTGATAATCTTCAGTAATTTAAAAGCTCTCACTGTATCGATCGATTTAATATTATTAGTCTGAAAAAGTGAAAGTTATTTTCAGTTTGAAAAACACTATTTCAGAGACATAAGCAAAAGTTATTTAAAGCGCAAAATTTTTTGCACATTTTCTTGTCCTTATCAGCAATGACGAATCTCTTGAATAAAGTTAAAACACGACAAAAAAATAACAAAATACAAAAAGGTCAATAAAGGAGTTCAAATACAACACAAAAACTCATTTTTGGCGTAACTTTATTTGTTACATTGCGTCCTTTAAAATATGATTAAAAAATACTATTTGTACATATAAATAATTGTTTAAATTAGGGTCAGTGGCCAAATTTTTACATTTTCAATAACGGAATTAGCGTCGGACCTATCGTTAAAATTAACGGAAGTATTAGCGGCAACAATGGTCCGTGAATTGGTGTTAATAAGAGCAGAAATCCTAAAATTAGAAGTACAGGTAGCATTGGAAGCAATTTTGGTCCAATTTCTATCAAAATTGGTAGAATTTTTTCGGGTAAATGTAATAGAATTGGCCCAAATTGTGCTAAAATTGGCAACAATGCTGGGAATATTACTGCTAAAAGTAAAATTGGAAATAGGGGCCCAAGTACTGGTGCTAGGGCAAACAAAGGACCTAGAATTGGGAGTAAAGGGGATAATTTTGGTGCTATTAGATCCACAATTGGTCCAATTATTTTTATTATTTTGGGACCAATTGAACCCAAAATGGGTGCTAATGCTGGAAATAATACAGGACCTAATAACAACGGTAGAAGTATAGGAAGTAAAGGTCCTAGCAGTGGTAGGAGTGGTAGAATAGGGAGCAGTGGACTGAGTTTTGGCCCAAGGGGACCCAAAAATGGACCAATTTTTCCCAAGGTTGGAGCTAACATTGGACCTAGAGCCGGAAATAATTTTGGACCAATCACTAAAAGTAAAATAATTGGAAACAAAGGACCTAAAAGTGGACCTACTAGAAGCAAAGGTCCTAGAATGGGGAGAATTGGGCTTAGTTTTGGCCCCAAGAGACCCAAAAATGGACCAATTTTTCCCAAAGTTGGAGCTAATATTGGACCTAATGTCGAAAGTAATGTTGGAACAAATATCAAAAGTGATATTAGTGGAAGCAATGGACCTAAAAGTGGACCTATTAAGAGTAAAGGTCCGAGAATAGGGCTTAGTTTTGGTCCAAGATGTGACATCAGAGGCGCCAATTTAGGCATTATTCTGGGTCCAAGTACTAAAAGCAATATAGGCAAAAAGGGCAACAAATGTGGTGCCAACATTGGTAAAAGTAGCGGCCCTAACATAGGGAGCAAAGAGCCTAAAATTGGTAGTAGAGGACCAAAAATTGGCCTTAGAAGTCCCAAAATTGGTCCTAAGACAGGTCCAAGAATAGGGCTTAAAACAGGGCCTAGAACTGGTCCTAAAACTGGAAGTATCGCAGGTCCTAAAACCATAAGTATTGGTAGTATAGGCACAAGAAGAGGGGCTATAATTGGTAATAAATGTGGCCCTAGTATGGGCAATAACAAAGGTCCTAGTAGCATTAGTAGAGGAGCTATAGGTTGAAGTGGACCTAGAAGAGGTTCCAAGTTTGGAACCAATAACGGCCCTAGTGCTATAAACAAGGGAAGAAGAATTGGGCCAATCCCAGGAATTAACACCGATGCTAGTAATAGTATGGGCAATAAAATCGGAAGTATTGGAATAAGTGGTGATAATAAAGGACCTAAAACTGCTAGTAATGGTAGAAATAACAACGGTGCTATAATACCTGGAAGAATTGGCCCTAAAACTGGCCCCAAAATTGACAAAACTATTAAAATAATTGGCAAGATTGGAGCTAGAGGCCCTAGTAAAGGTCCTACTAGAGGCGCAAGCGGCCCAAGAATCGTACCCAAAACTGGTAAAACCACAGGAATTAAAAGTGTCAAAATGAGTGGTCCTAAAGGACCTGCAATTGGGGACGCAAGAATCGGCAAGAAAATGGGACCAAGGATAAGAATTGGTACTAGTGGTGCTAGTAGCGGAAGCAAGGGCATTAAAACTGGCCTTAGGGCCTCTAATAGAGGCACAAATGGTGCTATTAGAGGCTGAAGTAGTGGCAATAATGGAGCCAATAGTGTTTGAATCGGTTTTGGCAACATTGGTAATAAAGCAGGGAGAAGAAGAGGAAGCAAAATGGGTAACAAAGGTCCCAAAAACTCCACAAGAGGGGCAAGTAATGCAGGAACTAATAGTTGCCCTAGTAGAGGCAATAGGGGATTTATATGTTTCAAAAGTGGTTTTATGGGTGAAAAAATTTTGGCAAGTGGTGTCAATAAAGGTAATAGAGGTGTTAGTAAGGGTTTGACTGGCGATGGTAAATGTGGCATAAGCAAAGGGAGCAAAACAGGGGCTAGTAGCGGTAATACCGGGCCCAAAAATGCTATAATTGGGAAGAGTAAAATAGGGATCAAACCTTGAGCTAGTAGAGGGAATAGTGGGATTAGAGGATTTAGAGCAGGTTTTAACGGCTCTAGTAATTTTAATAGTGGCTCTAGCATTGGTAGTACTGGGGCAAGAAGTGGTCTCACGTGTGGGGGTAAATGTGGTACTAGCACTGGTAGTAGAATTGGTGCCAAAATTGGTAGAAACATTCCTAGTACTTGTATAATAATCGGCAAGATTATTGGTAGTACAAATGGTGCTAAAAGGGGCAATAGTGGACCTAACTGATCAATCAGTGGTTTCAATGGTTTAATTAATGGTAAAATTGGACCAATGACACCCACGAGAGGGGCCAAAAACGGTTGTATAATAGGTGGGAAATGTGGCATCAGATGTGGAAGCAAAACTAGAACTAGAATTGGTAATAACGGTCCTAGAGCCATAATTAAGGGCAAAACTAACAAAATTGGTGCTAGTTGACCCAACAAGGGTAATATTGGTGCTAGAGGAGCTAGTAGTGGTTTAAATGGTACTAATTTCTCCAACACCGGTGCTATTTTAGGCAAAAATTTCTCCACTAGTAGTTTCAAAGGATGAGGCAAGTGGGGTAGAAGTGCCGGAAGTAGTAGTAAAATTGTTAGGGGATTTAAATGTGGTAGTAGAAACCCAAGAACAGGAGCTAGTAGTAAAGGTACGAAAAGTTGTCCTAGTAGAGGCAACAAGGGAGTTAAAGGTGCTAGAAGTGGTTGCAAGGGTGCAAGTGGCCCCAATAATGGGGCAATCAAAGGTATCAATGGTGCTAGTAAAGACTGGACCGGTTTAGGTAAATGAGGTAAAATAACGGGGAGTAGAAGTGGACCCAAGGCTGGAATAACAGGTCCTAGAAGTAGAGCAATTGGTAAAATCATTAAAGGCCCAAGTGGTCCTAAAATTGGTACTAGTGCTGGTAAAATTTGGGCTAAAAGTAGTACTAGTGGTAGAATGTGTCTTGGTGCTAGGGCTCGTCGAATTGCTGTGACAATTGGGGTTAAAATAAGTGCGATTGTGGGTACTATTGCTAGAGTGATGGGTCCAATGGGCATCCATACCGGTAACAAGGCCACTAACCCTAGTACAATTCGGATAAAGTGAAACACTGTAGGGACAGCTGATGGCAAAAAATGTCTAAATAATGTTAAAATTATCACTGAAATGATTAAAGTCGGGAGTGATAAATTGTTACCCAACAAGTGTTCAACAATTTCGTGTTTTAATAATAGTCGAGAGACGATTAAGAAACCAATGGGGCCAATAGCTGGTAGTATTGCAAGAATTGGAAGAATTTTAGGTAGTAGCCCTAGTAGTCTTGGTATTGCTTCTAGTGGTAGTAGCCCATAATTGACAAATTGGGCTACAATTGGGTCAATACTCTGCACAATCCCTTTAAGAACTTCTTTCAAAATTAGTGCAACTGGTGAAAAAGTGGGAGCTAGAACTAGAAATAGCAACCCAAGAGGTCCAATAGCTGACAATCCTAGCAATAGCAATGGTATCAACAACGGTGCTAGTTTCAATGGAAAAGGCAATGAAGGTTTTTCTACAACCGTTGTCGATTGAGCAACAAGTTGATGACCTATAAAATGATTTTCTAGTTGATTTTTCTCAACTGTTGATTATCTTACCTGACACCAAGAAGACATTACAAAAAAGTGTAGTAAACACTAGGAAAAAACACCTCATTGCAATCATTTCTACTTCACATTTTTAAAATAGCACCGTTTGAATTGAACGCAAACAACAGTGCTTTGAATTATATACACTTGCGACTCAATTGAGATTAAAAACGACCTTTAGATATCATTTAACGTGTTAAAAATTTAACAATTAGCACGGTATTTAATCCAGTTGTGTTATAATTTGTTGTCAGTGAAATAAATTGCATGTTTATCACCCTCTTGGTGGAGATTATTTCGCTGCAATGAAGCGGACTGACTGATAAAGAGCGACCAAAATTGAGTTAATTTTAGTGTTATTTTTTTTGTAAACTTTCATGCAAGCTAATTAGTAGTAGTTGGATTTGTGTTGTTGAGTCAATTTGTATAACGTTTCGCCCGAAAATTACCGCAGGGATTAATTAATTATTTACTAATCGGTTAAGAACAATAGAATCCGATTTTGTGCTAATTAATTATGTCTCTAATTAAGTCCAATACGCTAAACAAAAAACTTGGTCTTTAGAACAATATAAATGACATAAAAAGTTTATTTTCAGATCTTCTGTACTATTATTTGCAGGACTTGAGAACAATTACACGATTTTTTTTCTCTATTTTTGCTGAATTTAATATTTAGAACATTTAGAAACAATGTTCAAAGATGCAAAATGCTTCGAATTGTTGAGTTTTGAGAAATAATACACTACTATTGAATTAAAAAAAAATGGTCTCAAACATGTTTCTGGATTTTTTTACAAATTGTCCAAAATATCAAAATATTTATTTCAAATTTTTTTGATTTTTTTTCAAAAGTAACATGCAAAATTAAAAAAAAAATAAAAAACCCATATAACATATAATGTTCAAAAAGAATTATGTAATTTCTTTAATTCTTTTGTAAAACTTTGATTAATCAGTCCGAGAAAACCATTTGATGGATCGATTTCAAAATAAATTCAGGCTTATATTTTGATACCTTTTGTGATAACATATTTTTGAATGTTGTAATTTCCTCAGAGGAAAATGCTCTAAATTCGTTAAAAAAGCATAAATAACACATTTTATCCTAAATTTTGCATTTTTTTACCACAAATTTAGGATCTTTTCAATTTGGAGTTTTACAGTAAAAAAACATTCTAAATCTACCGAAATTAACAAGAATTACACACGTCAGAACTAATTTTCATTTTTTCTTCTTTGTTTTGGCAAAATCTTTGGAATTTTTGTGAGTTTCTCAGTAAAACACGCTGTAAATTCATTGAAGTAAGAGAAAATAACGAATTTCAAATTTGCTTTAATTTTTTTTCTTGTTTTGACAAAAAACGCGCTAAATATATAGAAACATGAAAAAATAACATATTTCAAGCTTAATTTTGCAATGTTTCTTCTTTGTTTTGCAATGAGTGAAAAGTGTTTTGCTTTTCTAAGGGTTACTCGCACAATTTTCTGTTTTTTTTTGACAAAATCTTTTCAATTTTTGGCTTAAAAATAAGCAAAATTGCTCAATAATGTCTGAAATAGCGAAATTTTAAATTAGAACGAAGAATTTCTGTTCTATTTAAGCAAAATCTTTTGCTTAAATAAGCGAGTTTCCGATTTAAAAATTTGGTGATTCCGACCTAAAACGATGATTTTTGGCTTGTTTTCGGCGAAAATTCTTAAATTAAGTGCGTTTTTAGCTCAAAACCCTTAAAATAATATATATAATAATAAAATTGTTGCATTTAATTTAATGGAAGAATTCAAGA